TCGGGGAATATCACTGCTCTAAGTAATTTTATATAGTAAGTAGTTCAAATCATTCGGTATACCTGAAAAAAATACTTTATAAAAGTTTTAAAATAATTTTCAGCTGTTTCTATGAATTTCTCTAACATTTAAATTAAATGAGATTTAATCGCAGCTGGTCCTTCTTTTGTTTTTATTTTAATCCCATGTTATTTAAATGGGCCAAAATCGTACTTTGAGGGCTTGCCAAGGGTTTATGGGTCAACGCACCGACTTGTGGCCCTTCAAAAGGCACATCTAAACGTTAAGGGCTTTCAAACAACATAAAAAACATTAAAATTGAGCCAGTGGTTTAGGCTGTAGGTCCGTCAACATTCAAGGAGAAGAAGGAGAACACGGAAAATTTGTGAATTTTCAAACTAGTTTTTCTGGCTCAAACACAACCGTTTTTTAAATTCTTTTTTTTAATTTTGTTGAGAATGAGTGCCCCTATCCAGTAGATGAATAATTATTTTAATAGCTTTGGTTTCTTCAGAGCTATAGACGAGTAAAAAAGCCACTTTATGTCACGTCATGTATATATACACTGCAGCAGCTGTGTACCGCTGGGAGACTTGGCGGGGCGGAACGCTGCCGCGTTCCTTAATGTGAAAGTTGTGTGCTTGTTTGTTTGTTTGTTTGAAGTTCAATCCCGCATAAACCACTGGACGGATTGGGCTGAAATTTTGCATGATGATAGCTCACATTTCCGATTAACATATAGGCACGGCATATTCTTATCTCGAAAATCCTTTCGGGCTCCGCCCCAGTGGCTCTGTAGTTCTCCATGTTAACCTAATGAGTATTCATATTTAAAGCGAATTAAAGAATTTAGTAGCCTAGCTGTTTCAACTAAAAAAGTTGGTTCTATGATATACAAAAGCATTAAAAAGTTAAAAGATTTACCAACAGGGTGCAGCACTATAATTTGTTTTTGCATTTATTTATGTAAACAGCTAATTTGAACTAAGCAGCAACAAAAAACTGTGATACGCAATGAGAACTGTCAAAGTAGGATTGTTCACAGTTATGTTTATGCTTTTAATGTCATGATTAATTTGTGATTTTTTGTAAATTAGTAATAATTTATTTTTCTTTATTGTTTAGGAGAAGTGGTAAAACATTATGGCTATGGTAGATGTGTAATACCATTAGTATACCGTCAATTTAAAGTAGAAAATTTTATCAAACTTTGCCCTCCCCCATTGCAAACGCAAAGCTTGAGTATAACTGCAAAAAGCATTTTTTAAACTTACATGCCAACCCCGTATGAAGGAGGGGTACTCTGCTAGTATTTCCATAAATAAGACATAGTTATTCCCTATTTAAATAACATTAGATTTAATGAGTGCTTAGGTTTGCTGCTACGGGGAAGGTAAAAATTGTTTTTTAACCATACGTCAATAGTATAGTATAGGATGAAATAAATAAATTTGTCAAATTTAATCAATATATATCCATAAACAAGTAAACTACAACAATTTTCATTTTCTTCATAAGAATAACATGGAAATTTTAAATAACACTATTTTTTATTTTCTCCGTGACCGTTAGGCATACAACAGCGCTTCAATATACTAAATTATTTCTTTTTTTAAGCTCTACAAAACAGTTTAAAAATAAATTGCAAAATTTTTTTGTTTTTATTGTCAAAAATTGAAAAACCCCATTTTTATCCCATAAAACCCCCCATAAACCCCCAATCCCATGGTCCGATTATGCTGGATTGCGAACTCGTTTGAATAAACGTAGGTTAACACGTTTTTACCAAATTTGATCAAAATCGGATAATTTTGTCTCATGTTATCGCGCTAACGGACACGTATATGGGTAGCTGGCTGGGTAGTTGAGTGGTTATAGTGCTCGCCTAGTAATCAAAAGGTCGCCAGTTCAATCCTAAGAAAAGTCAGTAGCTTTTTGATGGTTCGAAACTCGGCCCAGCTGTTCCTGATCATTGGGCTTTAAATAAATGATCCTGACTAATGAAACCGCTGATCTTAGTCAGTAACAAAGCTACACAGGTCATCACACACCATTCTACACTCATCCTTCACTCATATTTGGGTTAAAATACGCACTTAAGTGGTGTCCCCATCTCAACGATTGTTTGATTGGTATATATATATATTTATATGAATTTGAACGGATGGTGTTTTTGGCCTCTAGGGACCTCAAAATGAAAAATTAAATCGGTCCTGGGTCCAGGTCTTACCATGAGTACTACGGTAATGGCTTATTCCCTTTATAGAAAATTCGCTAAAAAAACTTCATTGTTTTTTTTTTTATTGAGATTGCCTTTAACTTAGTGTCTTCTTTCTTTAAAGTTTTATATTAATTACAACAAAACTGTATGTAAATAATATTGTGTAAACATTGTAAATTGGCGCCCTTAAAGATTTGGTGTTCATTTAGGGCCTACTATATGATTAAAACAACCAACTATGAAACTATGAAATTATTTACCATAACAACAAAAATTATAAAATCCCTTATCGTTCCGATATTACAGCATTTTATGGGGTGCCACAGGGATCCATTTTAGGTCCCCTTTTATTTATTTGCTATTTAAGAGACTTCCCTCAGCTTTCTGATTTCAGTAAACTTTGTCTTTATGCTGATGACACCAATTTGAAAATCACTGCATCAACCGTTGCTGAATTAGAAATTAAAATTAATTCCGACCTAACTCTCTTAAAAAAATTGTTTAATGCCAACAATTTGCTTTTAACCATCCGAGTGTTATTTGTCGCTGCAGCGACACATAACACACTTTGTGTAGTGTTTTGTGTCGCTGCAGCGACTCACAAACACTGTTTACGGCGAAGGCTCTATGACTGACAAAATCGGATTGAACTGGATCGAGTTAGGTATCGTTTTATTTGACAGATTCAGAGATTTCTCCGGAGGTCTGTCTCTAAGCGCTATTCATTTTATTTCCGAAAATATTGTAGCAGACAGCTGACGTGCGTATTTGTAAACAGCTTTGTTAACCTCGGACCGATGACTGATGTGTTTTATTACGTTTATCATTGTTTTAGTGTTAAAAATCAAAAGTAGTGATATACGTGGTGCATTATAAGAAGATTTAAGTGATTTTGAAGGGCTGGTTGATGAACCTGAAGAAGTAGGTAGTGATATTGATGTAAATTATCAGCCAGATTCCTAGCTATGGTTAGGCTATGCATTCTTAGCTAAACGCTATGTACTGAAATCTGTTTTTTGCCCATAACTTATTTATTCGCAAATCTACTTCCTTATATTATTATATAGTTGTAATCCTCATAAAATTTAGAACAATGTGGCTATTTTCAAATATTTATAGGCGTATAATTTATACAATTTCATTAAGCGCAAACTTATTTTTTTTTTTGAAAATTTTCCAAAATATTTTTTTTTACCTAAAAAATTTTTTTGAAACAAATGTTCCTTATGTTCTATGTATAATATTGAAGCCCATGATTTTCCAAACAAATTGGTATATAGAACAGTATAATTAACATTGTTTTCAAGCTTCTCAGATCCGTTTTAATAAAACCTTGCAAATGAGCAAAAAATAGGCAGACATTAAGGCCAAAACAAGGGACACTCGGAGAGTTAAATCCTGAAAAAACTAAAATTATTTGTTTTAAAACTCGATCAGCTCAAAATATAACTCAACCTAATGTTACCATATTTGATAAAAAAATTGAGGTTAAAGACAGCATAAAATTTTTAGGATTAGAAATAGAAAGTACACTTAAATGGAACCGTCATGTTGAACAATTACTCACTAAAATTTCTTCTGGCCTTTATGCATTTGTTAGGTTGAAAAATTTTTGTGAAAAAGAATCTCTAAAAGTTGTTTATTTTTCTTACATCCATTCAGTGATATCATTTGGGCTATCTCTTTATGGTGCAACTACTAAAGAAAACTTAAACTCTATCTTGATAATGCAAAAAAAAGCCATTAGAATTATTTGTAATTTACAACCCAGAACTTCAGTTAAAGATTATTTTAAATTAGAAAACATAGACTGTTTATGGAATGTATGTTTTTGAAACAGTTTTATCCACAAAAAATAGATTTCAGGAATTGGAGCTAATCGGTAACAATCATGAGTATAACACCAGCAATCGGGGCTGTATTGCAATGAGCTATCACACTCTGGAACTTTTCAAAAAGAAACCTAAATATGCTGGTTCAAAATGTTATAAAAAAATTCCAAAAAGCATAACAGATGAGGTGTCAACCAAAAAATTCAAAATTAAATTGAAGCAGTACCTCATCAGCAAAGCTATATATTCTTTCGATGAGTTGTAGGAGGTAATGTCAATTTTTGCATATATTGTTAGTTCTAAGAAACCTTTGTTTTTCATTTTTCAATACCTGTATATTTGACACTATTTATGTATGTAGGCTATTGTATACTACTAACAAATAAAGATTATTTGAATTTGAATTTGAAAACAGTTTAATCCTACTCCTAAATCATATATTTCTTTTGGTCAGTATTAGCATAGACTAACCAACACAAGTAGACTTCTCATCCCATTGTAAATTTTGAAGCACGTTTTTCGTGTCTAGTTCATGTACAAATAACAAATAAAGACACAAATAGTGACACAAAGGCGCTAGTGTCGACGAAACTTTGTTTCCATTATTTTAGGGTTAATTTCTAGATTTGTGCTTTACTGTTTGGTTATATAACTAGGGGACAAGTTATTGTTTATGATTAGATCGTATTATTTGGTTAAACGAGGTTTTAAATGGCTGTAATAACGGGAAACAAATTGTAAACAAAACACGACCTCTACATAAACCGTACAGAACTAACAATAAAATTGTCTTCAGCTGTTCCATAAGGATGAGAAATCTACTAAGGGAGTATGTTTTATCTATGGTATTAGGCTACTTATTAACAGTATTAAAATATGTTGCAAAAAAATGTGTTGTAACTGACTATGTCTTGTAACCAACTAATTGATTTTTTATGGGTTTTCAGCCTTTCCAGAGGTTTGTGGAGACAGGCCGAGTTGCCTACATTGCGGACGGACCCTACAAAGGAAAGCTCTGCTCCATTGTAGATGTTATCAACCAAACAAAGGTAAATTATATATTTAAGGCCTAGGCCTACTTAAGTGCTATTGAACTGCCCAAATCATGATAAAAATGCACAACTTTAGTTCAGGCTATATAAATTACTAAAACTAATGGCACTGTTTGTTTAATCAACAGGATTTTGAAGATCTCACCGGTAGTGGTTTGTCTATTATGCGTAGGATTTTCGCTCAATACTACATTTTAAACATATTTGCTATCAAGACAAATTATCAGAATACCGTACCTGATTGGTAACTTACATCATACAGTCCATCTTCAGTCTCATGTAGAATTCAGAGGCATAACTTACTAGTTTCAGTTCATGTCACCCGTTGTTGATTCAATATAAAATTTATATTCTTTAACCCTTCTAGAGTTACAGAGCTGCTTCCAGCGACAATGTGTTTTTACCTTAAAGTGTGTGTGTCGCTGAGAGCAACTATTTATTATATATCTCGTATAGTATGCTTCGATGCCGTGGACTTATTGGCTGGTTAATGAGTCAGTATGTTCCAAAGGCTTCAAATTATCAATCACCTGGCATTTCGCTCCATTAGGTACTGTCGCTAGCAGTCAGCTGTCTACGTTTAAACTCTTCCATCTTCAGTCTCATTATAGTTTCGGTTCATTTCACCATAGTTTCAGTTCATTTCAACGAAGGAAACTAGTAAGTTTCGGTAACTGTTTTGGTAAAAGCTATTTGATTTTATAAAGAGTTTTGTGATCCGAAACTAGTATTTCTTGTAATTCTAGGCCTACATAATGAACCAGGCTTGTTAACATATTCAATTAATTTTCTTTTGCCTTCTAGAAAATAAAAACTGGTAACTTATTTTAAATAAGATTTTTATTTTGCTTTGATCGAACATAAGTACATGTGTAATGATCTCTAGTGTAAAAATTTAAAACAAATTTTAATGTTTAAATGTGTTAACTTTTACATTAGGCTACTTCGAAGTTATTGTTCTGAAAATAATTCTTAAATTAAATAATACCCCCGCCACAGCGAACCTGCAGACTACTGCTGACTAATTTCCTACCTGGCTGGAATTCCACTAACTTATTCCCTTAAGATCGTCAGATTTATTTCCTATATATCATCCTATGTATAATAGGCCTATCATCAATTTAAATGAGGAGGTACTTAAGTTTGCTGTTGCAGGAAAGACAATAAGGTGTGTTTTTAGGTAAATATAGACAACTCAGTATAAAGTAAACAACAAATTTACAAATTTTATCAAAATATTTAGGTAGACAAGCAAGCTACATCAGTTTATTTATTCTCCTTAAGAATAACATGGGAATTTTAAATCTACACTTTCTTGGAATTTTTTCTCTAACCGTTAGGCATACAACAACGATTCAATATATAGCTCTACAAATAGCCAAAATGGTTTGGAAAGAATTGCGAAATTTTATTTTTTTAGGGTGAAAAATGGGAAAACCCAATTTTTACGCCATAAACATACCATAAACCCCCGTTTGCATAGTCCTATCATGCTGGTTTGCAAACTCGTTTAATGTAGGTTTACATACTTATACCAAATTTCATAAAAATCAGATCATTTCAGCTCGAGTTATCGTGCTAACGGACACATATAAATATACCTATATGAACTTGAACGGATGGTGTTTTTGGCCTCTAGGGCCTCAAAGCGAAATAGTAAATCGGTCCCGGGTCGAGGTCTTACCATGAGACCTACGGTTATAGCTTATTCCCTATATGGGAACTTCGCTAAAAAAGTGATTGTAGATTCCATGATCTATTGAAATCTAATTAAATTTTTGAAAGGAAGCCTAATGAAAAAGTTGTATAACAATGTAAATTTGTGATCTATACTTGCAGGCCTTGATTGATGGCCCAGAGACTGGTGTGCCCCGTCAGGCCATTCGTCTTAACCAGCTTCACCTCACCAAGTTCCGCATTCGCTTCCCCTACACTGGTGGCACCCGCATCGTCCGCAAGGCGTGGAAAGATGGCAAGGTGGACGAAAAGTGGAAGGAAAGCGTTTGGTTCCAGAAAGTCGAGGCCAAGAAGAAGGTACAAAAACAACTCTTAAATAGACAAACAAATAGCAACTTTCTTTTACTTTAACACTACTTCTCAAGCAATAAAATGTAGGCCATACCCATTTGTGTACCGGTAATCAAAATCTTTGAGACCAATTATAATTTTTACAGCATAAACATTTTTTACTTGCACTACACTAAGGTCTATTTTTATCAATGATAAAAAAAAAACTTAATGTAAGAAATTCTTTTACCCTTCAAAAATGTGTAGGCTACTGTAAACCATGATAGACCTACAAATACTCTATAATACACTGGGTCTTTTTTATTCTTGGTATTTTTAACATGTTCAAATAAAAGTTGTTAAGTACAATCAAAACAATGTAAATAGTTATACTAAAAGTTACTAGCAACAATCACATAGATACACCTGTTGTTTAAAATCAAGCATAAGTCAACTCTAGTTCATGAGCTGTGGTTAGTTTCGATCATTGGTCATCCTAGATGAAGATTAAAATTTTAAATGCATCTCAATAATGTGAATCCCAGCCAGCAAAAATGTCTATGCCGTTGCGAGGATCATCTGCCAATAATTTAAGCTTAGTGGAAATGTATAGGCTGTTATTAAATTTACGGAAAGTTACCCAATCAAAATCGATCACCACTTACCATCTTTTTTCTATATTTACCGTCTTGTGAGTAACAGTATAAGCGTAAATATATGTTTTAAGTGTTATAAGACGTTTCTTTTATTTACTTTCCGTAAATTTAATAACACGTACAATGCTGATCAAGAAGTTATTTAAATAATTAAAATAAAATTTATCCACAAAAACAAACAACATTGTTTGAACAACTTGTAAAAGGAATCCTCTATTGCATTCCTTTTTCCCTTTTAGTCCCTAGGGTGTAAAAGTCAGCGGTTGTAAACTTCGATTGTAAGCAATTGCTTGTATACAAATTATGTATCGATTGATTTAATTAGTCAATAGCTTGTTGCCTGTATTCTTATTAGTTTGACATATTGATAGTATAATGTACGCTAACCAGTGTTGGGGAAGCTACTTTTAAAATGTAGCTAGCTACAACTACTGCTACATTTCCAAAAAAGTAGCTTAGCTACAGCTACAGCTACAGTTCCGAAAAAGTAGCTAGCTACAACTACAGCTACAATGTAATGTAGCTACAGCTACAATTTTAGCTACTTTTCCAAAGATGTTACTTTTTATTCCACGCACATTAGGTAAATGTAAAATTAATTGCAACTACATTTTTATTGAACAAACATTTAAACAAAAAATGTCAGTATTGTATCTAACATTACTTGGAAAACAAATTATTCCCAGATTGTATTTAATTTGTTGGCATTATAAACCTAACATTACAACAACAGAACCAAATAGTTGGGTGTCCCATCATATTTAGTACTTATTTTTAAATATTGCATTATTTTTAAGCATCTTATATGTAAATTTCATTAAGTTCCAAGGACATACAACCAAACTTTAAAAGCTCATTTTATTTCTTTAATATAGATTCATTTATAGATGTCTTATATCAAAAATTAAGACCAATAAAACTGTAAAACGATTATTTAAAAATAAGTTTTTGTGTTACAGAGCCTAGCCTACTGAAATTGGAGTTTATTGCCTTTCTTTACTTTTAATGTTAAAAATGACATTGCTCTAACTTTTAACCATAGTGATAAGTTACTTGTTCTATGAATAACACTTTTCAATGTCAAGAAATCGTCCTTTTGTGCTTCAACCTAGTTGGTACAGAAAACAGTATTCAGCAACTTATCCTGAAATCGGCTTTAAATTTAAACATGTTGAAATTTGTAAAGTAAAAATAACATGTAGGTCTACTTGGCTATGTAACAAGTTGGCTATAGTGGGCTTGTTCTTGCAATGACTAAACACTAAACGGCTTATATTCCTAATAATTGAACTTGGAACTTGGTATTCATCTTAACTTAAACCATAGCATAGCCTAGGAATAGTCATATACAAGAGCTGTTAGCAGGAGCAAACTATGCTATTTTTTCAATGTAAGTTTCATGTTATATGGAGATTTTTTTCGTTACAATTATCGTGTAGTCTAGGCGTATCTTAAATCTCATCAGGTAATTTCCTCTTTGTTTATTTAGTAAACCTTTGAAAAATCTTCGTAATCTAACCAAGGAAGGGCTTGAGATGATGAACCACTATCAACAGCTGAAGCAAAGGTTGATAGACCAGCTTTCTTATTATTTTAAGGTTTATTGTTGGTTTCCATTAAAACCCAAGTTGAAACATTATCGATATAATAAAGAAACTAAATTGAGTACTAATTTCCCTGTCAATCACTTGCAAGCATTCAATAATTCTTCTCTTGTCACCGGTCGGTAACGTTTAGACGTCGTCTGCATCTAGCGATTTTATTTTATCTGACAGTAATCATAGAGTACTAAATTAAGGAAATGAGAACCAAAAATGTGGATAACACTCATTTAATGGCCTCCATGTCCACACAACGTTGTAATAGGGAATGAAACGGCTGCAACCAGCTGTATGAATCAAAGAAAGTAGGCCTAATTTTTTGGAAAATCTCAGTTTGAAAGAGGTTGTTTCACGTAAGGTTGAGGTTATGATAAAAATCACTATCTCAAAAAATGTTAATGTAGCGAGAAAAGTAGCTAAAATTCCGCTACAACTACTTTAAAAATGTAGCTAGCTACAGCTAAAGCTACAAAATCTTAAAAGTAGCGTAGCTACAGCTAACGCTACAAAAAAAGTAGCGCGCTACTGTAGCGTCGCTACTTGTAGCGCGCTACTTCCCAACACTGACGCTAACACAATCGTAATAGGCGAAAGGATTGAATCACTTACTTAACAGCTGCTTGATTGGAATAGGCTAGCAAAATTGAAAAAAAATCTGGTAGTATATGAAAAGTATTTTTTTTTTTTTTTTACTTAGATTGTTAAATAATGCTGCATTATGACAAAAAATATTGTTGAACACTTAAGAAAAAAGTGTCTTTTCAACCCTCGGTTTATTTTCTGCCGAACTCAGCTTCGGCGTGAAACTTGATCTCGGGTCCTAAAGAAGCACTTTACGCCCTAGTGATGAAATATACTATTCTGTTAATCATCTGATTTTTGATAAATGTTATTGGGAGACAGTTGTTATAAGATCATAATGTTATTGTGTTATTTCTAGTAAAGTAGGCCTTTTGATTTTAGAATTTTGGATATTGATACTAAGTATTACTTTGCCATTCATAGTTTCAACCTTTACTGTGTTACAGAGAGCTGAGATGACAGACTTTGACCGCTACAAGCTGAGGTATGCACGAAGGATGCGCAACAAGATCCGCTCCAGAGTGTTCCACAAGCTAAAAGCCACCAAGGGTGGACGGCCTAAGGGCGAGAAGAAAGAGCCCAAGAAGGGCAAGGCTGCACCCAAGAAGAAATAACTGTTAAAATTTTAAATTTATTAAAAAATTTTTAAAAAAGTTATTGTTTTTGGAATATTTGTCATTTATTAGATCCTAAATAGTATATTTCATTACAAGGACCGAAAGTGGCATGTTCCGGCGTACGCTCACAGGAAAACCAAATTTCAGTGAGTTGTTTTCAAGTACAATGCGAAGCCAAGGACGGGGATAATGGTCATGGAGCAAATGTCGGAAAATAGCTTTCGGTACGAGTTATGAACGATACTTTTCATCACAACGCAAAAATACACACTTACAGAAAAATATACCTTGGTAAAATTAAAATAGTTTTCAACCACTCTTTATCATTTTAATGTTTTGTGTATATAGTGTACAGTTTTGTTTTCCTCATGCTAGGTTGGACTCTTTACCATTCAGCTACGCCTGCCATCCTCACTTTATCAATAGGTACAAACTTACAAGTGTTATTCAGGCAGTGCCGTAGAACTGAATTGTGACTTAGAGCCTTCCCTTATTCAAGTTTCTCACCCGTATTCGTCTGGGCGCGAGTGTTTGCGGTGTCGGGTATGTGTCATCTTCTTGATGTCAGGAGCAAGAATTCCAGTAGCTCCACAAATTTTGTACTAATTTGGGTTTGTGCAATTTCTAGAAACTGATTTGTTTCGCTGAGCAACTGACACTCCAAGCAAAAAAAAAAAAAAAAAAAAAAAATACCTTTAGACAGACACCAGCAACAGTGGCGTTGCTTGGTATTAAAATTCCAGGGGGGGAAGCCTCAATTTTCCCAAATGCTTAGCATTGATTTCCCAACTATTTTTTTTATTTTAAGAAATCAATTTCAATACTACTAAAAAATCTACAAATTATTATACTACACTGCAGTCACACTCAATCCAGTATTTATTAACTTGTACATTAACAAAACATAGCTAGTTTTAGTTAAATACAAAATTACTCAATTAAAAATATGTCTAAAACTTCTACCAATTAATTCATAATGAAATTGTATGACTCCAAATAACTTTGAATATTGTTTCAGATCCAACAAACTTTACAAACCTTGGTGGTAGCAGACATAGCAGGCAAAATTTTAGGGATATAAAATAGGCCTAGTACAACTTTAGTACCTTTGGAAAATACCACAGTTTTTTTCATCGAAAGTTGTCTTCCGTTATATTTTCAGTATCGATGTTTCACTCCAATATTTTTGTTAATAGCGTATATGTTAGTATATTTTACTCTGATATTTATTTTTTACTATCACTTGTCATGGCCATCGGAAGTAATTTTTTCTCCAGTCCAAGCCTGAGGTTTAATCTGAGGTTAAAATGTAGTCTAAACCACGATCGTCAGAGGTAATATATATTTGGGGAAAACGGACCTTTTGGAATAAATACAAAGGAAACATTAAGAGGCAAACTTTTTTGGTTGTACCTATTTATATACTCCCGTAACTAACAAAATGTTACTGGAAGAAAGAGGTATAAATTATATATTTCATTAATTAGCAGTTGGTTGGTGTTCTTAATATCGAGGTTTTCTCCAATATTTATTGATACTTTGACTTCGATATTTTTTTGACATCGATGTTTAAAGGCCGATATCACTATCGATAATAGTATCGATGTACCAACACTACTGTATTAGACAAATCATCAACACAGGACAGGATCAGGGTAGCCAACATACGTCCAACAAGGAACAACGTTTCTCTTCAACAAACTATACCACTAATTGATTAATGATTTCTTAAAATAAGGCATGTTCAGGCCTAATCAAAGTTAAATGCAAGTTTAAGAAACATCAAGTTTATTTGTCAAAGTCAAAGAAGTTTTAATCTTTGATAGATTTTCACAAATATTTATATTTTATTTTGTTTAAAAATATATTTGTCTTGTATCTCTGACTTCCCAACTGTCCCAACTCGTGGGAAGGAAATTCCCAACTTTTCTCTTTCTGTATTAGACAAATCATCAACACAGGACAGGATCAGGGTAGCCAACATACGTCCAACAAGGAACAACGTTTCTCTTCAACAAACTATACCACTAATTGATTAATGATTTCTTAAAATAAGGCATTTTCAGGCCTAATCAAAGTTAAATGCAAGTTTAAGAAACATCAAGTTTATTTGTCAAAGTCAAAGAAGTTTTAATCTTTGATAGATTTTCACAAATATTTATATTTTATTTTGTTTAAAAATATATTTGTCTTGTATCTCTGACTTCCCAACTGTCCCAACTCGTGGGAAGGAAATTCCCAACTTTTCTCTTTCCAGATTCTGGGGGGTGGAGGCTCCCCCCCCCAACAAGGCGACACTCCTGACCAGCAATCTAGCAGATTTGAAAGGCAACATTTTTGGTAGCAACCTTGAATAAGAGAAGACACTGAGTTTGAACCAACAGAGTTTTGGGATTCAAAAAAATTGACATAGGTTCTATACTATGAAGACGCAGAGAGGAAGAGTACTTGAAACAATTGGCATTGCAATTCAAAGGACAAAGTAGGCCTACAATAAAAACTCCAAACTTATTAAACTATACTATTTAATTCATTCAACTGTTGTTATAACTTAAATCTAACTTTACACAACATTCTGCTGTAAAACTAAATATGAAAACATTGTATAACAATTTATTTTTGTGCACTTCATGGAAGATACTAAGTAATGCTAGGACTAGTTTTGAGAGAGCTTAAGTTTAAGGAGTTAAACATTCAAATAAATAAGATCGATACAAAAGTCAAACTACATAAATACACAATCACGATAAATTATACAAACCATAAAAAGAGCACTCAGTAGTGGTTAACTCTAGCTACAAAATAGGAAATGCGAAGCACTAAAAATAATACTGTGATGACTTGAGGTAGAATCAGTCTTTACTGTGAGGAAGTGGAGAGTGCATTTTTGATTCTGTCTTGAAGGGAGTTGAACCGGTCAATATATTGAGCAATGCTGCCAGGCTGCTGGTTTTGGCTACAACAATAGATTATATTAGTAAAAATTCAATTTGCTTGATAATAGGAGTGAAAAGATATTGATCCACTAGTCTAAACTCGAAACTGAAAACAAATAAAATAGATAGCTTCTTGATTACCATCTTTTTTGTATATTTACCGTCTTGTGAGTAACAGTATAAGCGTAAATATATCTTTTAAGTGTTATAAGACGTTTCTCTTATTTACTTTCCGTAACTAAAATAGTCAATACACTAGATTAAATAGGTTAGGCTTTAAGTAGAACTATATTTATTCAATATTGCACTGTTTTCTTGAGAATTTATGTTTTATTTTTGTGATTTTACACACCACAAAAATTATTGGCTTATACCAGCTCTTTGGTCATCTATTGTACTTACATTTTCAAGTAAAAATTGGTGGATAATAAAAACAAGGAAATGATCCATCAATATTTAAATATTACTTAGCCGTTGTGTTGCCACGTATTCAAATTGTAAGTTACTACAAAATGAATAAAAATAATATAGCATTAAATGTTATGCTAACTTCAAGCATAGTCTTCAAGGTAAAAAATGCCTCTATAATTGCCTGCATTCATAGTTCTGCAAAAATATTTCTTAGGAGTTGAACTTAAAAACATTGAGCAGTTTCAATACTGAGATCTAAGGGTTAGTTAACAGCTTTTAAAAAACAAATACTTGAATGAACATGCTCAAAAATTTACGATAATGTAAAATCAAACACTGCAAAACTTTCAAACACAAATATTACATATTTACAGTACTTGTACAAAAGCGTGTAACAATTTAGTAGGCATACCAAAACAACAATCGGTTGGGTGAGAATAACTTTGTGTTGTTTCTTAAGTCAACTGAATCTTGATATTGCTGATAATTTTCTTTGTATCCATTATTTATTTTAAACTTTTGGGGATGAATAACAAACAGACTCAGGTTTCTAGAGTTAACTTCTCTAACCGTCCTATTTTCATTCATTTGTTCAATACAATGCAGTTATTTGTAAAGTATAAATGTGAGGAATCGGAAGCATCAAGCGACTATGTGTTATAATATACAATCTGACACTGACGAGTGAGCTCGGCACATCCAAGTGTCAACATGAAGTACATGCAGCAACTCACCCTGCGGCTAATGACGATCGGAAGGCAGAGTGGACAAACTCAAAATGGTTTCAACCAAGAAAAATGAGCGAAAGGCAGTCGAGATCCAAGTGCCGGGCTACAAAATCGACTGAGAGTAAAACCAAAACCATTGACCAAACACTTCCTGAGGCAACTAACCTAATACATTTATTTTATAGCAATATCTCACTTTAACCACACAGAAGTAGGATGCATGGTATACTTTAATCGCTGTATCCTGAGACAACAAACTAATTTAAATACTTAAATCAAACTGGTTACTTAAAAAGAAAAATAATTAACTACTTTCATTTAAATATCTATTTTATTTAACCTACCTTGATGAGGGCACGTTATTTCTTCGCCACAATGTTTGAAGTTCTGTAATATTTTCTGCTGAAAAAGTATGATTGTTATCAGACGGTGTAAACAATAGTTAGTTTATTTTTACCTTAAATATAAACACTCTATGTATAAATAAGGTATGCATCCTTTGATAGTGACTGTGTCAAATAAATACACGATCATTCACAGTTAGAGGATTAACCATGCAGTGATTAAACTAGGACTAAAATATTAAACAATAGCAAAGCAAATACTGTTGTTTAAGGTCACATTGTAAATGCATACTGTCAGCTACTTTCATATGTGTGCTAAAGATTTACATTAAAAACTGATTGATACTTGATGCTGCTAATATGGCTAGTGTTTTCATTATTTATTAGAAAGAGTGAAATTTCCATGGGATGAATGTGTCAGCCTATTTATGTATTGATATAAGTCCAGAGATTGTGGAAGGCACTAAATGGTCAAAATGTCTTTATTGAATGATGTTGACAAAACTATAACGTCATAAACAATGGACTTGTTGCATTTTTTAAAATTCAACATTGGTATTTTTCATACTGACAAAATGACAATTACAATAATATATGGAAAAATAAATAAATATAACAGTA